AGCGCCCGCCCAACAGCGCTCGCATGACAGTGCCCGTGTGGCCGTAACAGCGCCCGCCTGGCAGCGCACGTCCGCCCAGCAGCGCTGGGTCGATTATCCCAAGGCCTCCAGTGTGCTGCTTGCCCTCCCGCTGCCACCGCCGTCCTGTCCGCCTTGCTCAGTGTGTCACGTCTCGTCCCCCCGTTCGTGGCCATTGCCGAAACTGGTACTGTCGACGTGGCTTCGCCAAGTGCAGAAGACTCCACGTGTGGCGGGCCGCACAACAGCGCTGTTGCGAGTGACGACCTGAGTGCACAGCGTACACGTCGACGATCAAGCTGGGCTTCGAAGACGACAACGACGACGATCGTGTGACGGCGTGTTTGCTGCTTCGGACGCGTACATGTACGTTCGGCGTGCCCACCGACACGCAGCCGCCACCCCATACCCAAACGCTTCCGCTGAGGAACGTTGCTGCCGTCAGCCGCAAGGGACACCCACGGTACTGGTCAGTCGCTTGCGGAAATTCGAATTTCGAATTTCAAACCTGGGTCTGCGTGCCTTTTTCGTGCCTTTTGTTTTTTCCGCCGCCAACTTTCGAATTCGCGACGCCCCCCCGAGCTGGACCAACGACGTCGGCACGGACACACCTTGCTGGACCAACCTCCTTCCCCCCCCCCGGCGTCCGCTTGTCGATATATGAAAGTGGCCGCGGAAGGCCCCGAGGAATCGTCCTCGGGGAACAATTCCAAGGATGAGTGGAACGACGGCGTGAATTTCCTCGGGCGACGACGGGATAATTTCCTCGGGCCCCGAGTACGGCCCGAGGAGTGTCGAACGAGCCCCACAGTCTCCGGTACCTCTTTACACCGAGGGCACCTCTCCTCCACTGGCATGTTCCTCTCTCTCAACCATACTGTGGTCGGAACCGCTCTGTGTGAATGCAACCAGGATAGGCTAGCGAACTTTACTGACGGAATCATCTGTATGGAATCCCATACTGTGGTTAAATCTTTTGACAACACTGCCTTTTGAATGTGACCATTGGTTGATTTCTCTGTAAATGGAATGTGGAGTTTCTCTTTTCAGACCAGGATTGTCGGGCCAGTTTAGGCCTGTCCCTTTCTGACTTGATTTCTGTTCATTTTCCAAAAAAAGGGATATCATCCTAAGGCCTGGACCCCAAAGGAAAGTGTTGGAAAAGTAGTAAAGTACTGATTTTCGGAATTGCGTGGAAGGGTCGCTGGAAGAGTTCGCCTGCGGAAAGACGGGACCTGGAAAAAGGCAGTTTTGTCGAGCTCGGAAAGTGCAGCGTGCCTCTGGCTGCCCTGGCTATCTGGCTATTTGGCTATTTTGCCTGTTCGGCCTATGGGACCAGGCTGTGGCCTGACCCCACAGGCCGGGTGTTATTCAGTCCAGTCCAGTCCTGCCCTGTACCACTGTCGGTACCAGGCCAGTCCAGTCCAGTCCAATAGGTCCGCTGGGGGTATACCTTAGCTTCAGTCTGTTTTTCCATTCATTTTTCATTCGCACAGTCTGAAATACGTGCATGTTGAGTCTGCGTCGGAGCTGCGCTTTCCCTTCCATCTCCATCTCCGTCATCCTTATCCCCTTCGGCGTGATCCTGATCGACCGCCATCTCGGTGGGTCTGTCACACTGGTATCAGAGCAGGAACGTTCCCCGCTCCCGCCCATCCCCCTCTCTTCAGCAGCAAATCCCGACAGCGGGCTTTTTTGGTATTTTTGTGTCCGCAGACGAAGAAAATAAGGAAAAGCAGCAGCGGTGGGGAGAGGTACACATGTCGAAAAAAGAGACACCCATCACGTGCACGTGCAACGCTGCCTCACGCGTGCGACCGCCTCTCTGCCCTGCCTCGCCCCGCTCTCAGATCATATATCATCAAGATCTGGGAGTGCAGCTACCAGGGTTTACACCTGGGCATCTGCTGCTCATGCGTGTGCGTAGCCAGTGCTCTAACACACGGGCCAAAGCCATAGTAGTATGCGCTAGTAGCGTGGCACTTCGGTGTTGAAGAGTGGCCCTCCAGCTATTTACCCCCTCTAGACAGCGAGCGGCGAGCAGCCGGCGACACGACAGCAGCGAGTGGGCTGCTGTATGCCCCCCCCCCCCCCCCCCCCCCCCCCCCCCGTGGCTGCTGCTGCTTGCACACGTGGCCATCTACAGTGCCACGTGGCAGCTTGCTGAGGATCTTGAAGACCCCCCTGGCTAAGGGGCTGCACCACAATGGGATCTCTGGGTGGATGATCAAGATCTCAGCGCACCCACTGGCAGATTATTATTATTTTTGGGGGGCAAGTACACCTGTGTCACAGGTGTAGTTTGGAATGGGTGAAAAAAAACAGTTGTTGGCAAGGCAACAAAAACACCTGGCGGTCCTTCACACAATGTCATGGGCCGTGTTCCTGACGAGCATTTTGGTCATCTTGTGGCCTGGTTTCTTCCCAGGTACCGGGGCAGTCCATTTGAGTAGGGACATGGGGCCTTTGTCCTCTACTCACCACGTGTAAAATCATAAAATGAGAAAGAATCTTCCATTTTCTAGTGGAAGATTCATTCTCATTTTGCATGCGGAGGGATGAGGACAGGTGAGGGGCATGCAAAATGAAAATTGATCTTCCCCTCGAACATGGGAGGATACACCGCCAGCATGTCGGTATCCCGCGGCAGCGCACAAGAGCGGTTTCTGTTGAGGGTGGGCACGCGGGGGAGAGAGTGAGCGGGCGATCAGAAGAGCGCACTCGAGAGAGAATGAGAATGAATCTTTCCCTAGAACATGGGACGATACACGGCCATATTTTTTGTTGGCCCAACATACAGTAAAATGGGAATGAATCCTCCCTAGAACATGGGAAGATACACCGCCATATCTTTTGTCTAAAATGACAGACAGTATGGTGGTGTACCTTCCCTGGCTTCCCATGTTCTAGTGTATCCAGATAGCATGGAAAATGAGAATTGATTTTCCGCTCGAGCATGGGAAGATACACCACCTACCTATTGATGTGCAGTTTTCCGGAGTGTGTTTTCCAGGCGGTGGGGGCCCGGAAAACCGCCCGCACCTCCAAAGACCGGTTTAACAGATGGCCTCTTTCGTCCAATGGAGTCTCGGAAAAGTATTTCCGGTCCTTCTTTTTCACGTCTTTTCCACGATTTTGTCCTGTGGGGTCCAGGCCTAAGATTCTCTGCCGCTTAGGATTGACCGCTGCTAAGACCCTAGGATTGCGTGAAGGGCGTTGGGAGGAGGATTCTCACCGCTGAGTCATTTAGTCTAGGTTTCGAATGACGTCCATTTGCCTTTTTCTCATTTTTCTTGCATAGAAAAGGGCCCCGGCCTTGAGATACCATCATTGAACTGACGGCCACCAGGTAAATAACATTTCTGACAAAATCCATGGTGCAAATTTGATATAACAAGCACTGGATCCCAGTGCAACCTCCTTTTTTTTTTTTTTTTTTTTTTTTTTTGCAACCTCATAAAAAGCTATTCAGAATTAGTTTTATTCTGGTCATCTGATTGTATCGCACTTGGAATCGGATCTGTATTTCCTGGGTGTAGCAACTGAGCGAGCCTGAGGCCTTTGAGTACATCCATTTACCTTTATTCTTCAAGGTGGAGTTTACTGTTTGGAATGATAACAGTTTTAAATTAAGGAAAGATACGGGATGCAGGACCCCGTATCCAGGGACAAGCCAAAGCTCAACAGAACGTAAATCGACGTACAAACGGGCCCAATATTGGGGCCGGCAATGGGCCCAAATTCCCCCAATATTTTCCGGGTTGTTTGTGAGGAATTGCCAGCCTCTTCCCTCGTCCTTCCCATTTTCGAAACGAAATGTTTAGTTCCCCGCCCCCCCCCCCCCCCCCTTCCCCCCCCCTCAAACAAAAAAAGCAAAAGACGAAAAACTTGATGGTTATCTTTCTTTTTTTTTTCTTTTTTTTTTTTCTGGAGGTGGAATTTGCCCTTTTCAACCTTTTTTTTTTTTTTTCTACTTGTAAGTTTTTTTTACTTAATGTTAGCCAGGAACCCGGCCCGGCGTCCCTTGAAAATGCTGTTGTGCGCCCCCCCCCCCCCAAATGGGACGGCATCACGGGTCGAACCCAGAGGACAAGTCACAGTGATACCAGGAAGAGGCTTACAAGGTGTGAACAAGAAAACCGCTGCCGCAGTATGTCTATTGTACATTGTATAGCACAATCAAGCCTTTGAAACCCACGTTCTACAATTTTGAAAAAAAAAACAAAAAAAAAAACACGTTCTATACCTTTTTACCCTTTTTTTTTTTTTTCTCTCTTTCTTTTATAGTAATCTTCTAATGCCTAATGCCATTGGGCATATAATGGACTATTGACAGTTTCTACTGCCCAAGGCTAGAGAACTTCACCCGGGAATCGGGCCATCGTCCCGGCCATGTGTCCCCAACAGCTAGGTAGCTGCCGATCAGCCTGGACGAGCCCCTCCGGGCAGGCCCAAGTCTGGCAGCTCAGACGAATCACAATCCAGAAAACAAACAGTTCTCCACTATATCGGAATTATCTGAACTGTTTCTCAAAATGATTCTTTGAAAAAAAGAGAAAAAGAAAAGGGAAAAAAAAAAAAAAAAAAAAAAAAAAAAAGATTCATCCTCAACTCATCGTGAACCACAAATACTCCTGAACTGTGTCCGGATACTGTTGGACCCTTTCAGAAGAGATAGGGATAAATACATGGTCTTCTGGAAGCCTGATCCTTCCCTTCTCCCAGCCAATAAATAACCAATCTGGGTCCCCATACACTTTCCAGCAGTTGTGGGGGGGGGGAGGGAGGGGTGGTTCACACCAACCCCGACTTTCATGCAATTTGCTTGCGCATGAAGCGAACTATAGGTTGAAAATACCATCGAATCCCCCTTGATCGTAAAAAAGAAAAAATTGAAGTTAGGCTACCAAAAGGTCCAAAAGAACAATAGATACAATACCCATTGACAGATCTGAAAAGTCCGGGCCTGCCAGCAGAATTTCACAGGAATAAGCATGAATCAGGCCCCTAAGACAGCCCAGGTTCACGAAACAGACCCATAGAATTCCACTGGTGGAAGGAACTTGGTCCTGAAGAGTACTGCTGGCTTCCACATTCAACCACAGTGCTCCCAATTTTCTGTCAAAAACAATTGAGGCCAGGACTTCTTCACGTACTTCTGACGTAACTGCGGCCAGATACGTCCATATGCGGCCCTAAATGCAGTCAGATACATTTATGAGAAAGAAGATGGTGCGAGTGTGAATACACCCCTGAAGAGTACTGCTGGCTTCCACATTCAACCACAGTGCTCCCAATTTTCTGTCAAAAACAATTGAGGCCAGGACTTCTTCACGTACCTCTGACGTAACTGCGGCCAGATACGTCCATATGCGGCCCTAAATGCAGTCAGATACATTTATGAGAAAGAAGATAGTGCGAGTGTGAATACACCCTAAACCTTAAACAAACAAAACAGACAACCAGACCAGACCCCTCTACTTTTTTTTTTTTTTTTTTTCTTCACCAGACACCTCTACTTTTCATTAGCACCCCTCTTTTTTGAAAAGGCCAGGTTGTTCGAGAGGTTGGATGCTAGACATAGGCCGGCATTTGTCCTCAGTTAAGGAGATTTGGTTAATATCCAGATGGTCTGTAGAGGTCCCTATAATTTCTTAATGAGAATCCTGCCCAACCTTCCACTCTCGGACTCAACGGGGTTCACCCGACCAGGGCTGGGCGAAGCAGGACCTACCCACCTCAGTCCAGATTGAAGCATAGTCGGACCAGCCCTGTCCGCGCCTGCGCCTCCTCCGTTTTCCGATGCTAGTGTGCTGTGCTCCCTGGCACTACGAGAAACAAAACGTCGCAGGCACAATCTTGCCGGCTGCTGCCAGCATTTTCCCTCCGGTACGCCCAAGTCACGATTGTTCAGAGCCTTAACCGGAGTGCTGGAACGAGCGCTGTGCTCCGTGGCGCGAAGAGAAACAAACCGTTGCAGGCAAGAGTAACACTCTTGCCGGCTGCCGCCAGCATTTTCCCTCTGGTACGCCCAAGTCACGATTGTCGGGAGCATTAACTGGTCCGGGAGTGCCGGAACGAGGTACCATGGAAACGGGCCCCTGCGATCGTTGGGTGCATTAACCGGAGTGTTGAAGCAAAGAGCCATGGAAACAGGCTGGCATATTACGCACTTAGACCACCACCCCATGTTCGTGGCTGGCAGCTTTTTTGTTGCTAATTATAACTGTTACATTGACTCCAGAGTCCAAACTAGAACTTGGCAACTCGCACAATATCGTCAAAGGGGCGCTGGACCCGCTTTCCAGCAGCCTCAGCAGGTGCTGCTCCCCACCAATAGAATGGAGCAACCAGGCAGTCCACTAGGAGGGGGTGCTCTTATCACCTCGGGTAGCGAAGATACCCGTTTTCCAAAAAAAAAAAAAAAAAAAAAAAAAACAATATCGTATTAAAAAAAAAAACAAAAAAAACTCGTATGGGGCCCTTAGCGTACGAATAGCGTAGGAGTACAAGATTACAANAAAAAAAAAAAAAAAAAAAAAAAAAACAATATCGTAAAGAGGCCAGCGCATTGGCCAGGCAATCTTGAGAACTGAAATTGAGGGCAATCCCAAAATTGTGGAGGCGCGGGGGCTACCAGAGCAAAACGGCCAGCCGCGCCAGCCAAAAGAAAAGAAAATTTAAAGCGTCCCGCTCGCATTTCGGCAAAGCTTGGCCTGCAGAGGGAATCGACCTCGACACGCACTGGTCGTTTAAACAGCTAAACCCCCCCTGGGGCCCCATTTCTGTGGCCATCATCTCTCGTCGCTGATTACAGCACGGCTTCCAAACTTGGCAGGCGATTACTTGGATTGCAAACGAGCCAGGAACAAGTTTCTATTCATCCCCAGAAATCAGCCCCCATTCGGAGAGGGTGGGGGACAATATATAAAAAAAAGAACCATGCCAAGAGGCCAGTCACCGATATATGTAGCTTGTGCGCCCTTGCTTAGCGACCATTATTTCCCCTTCCCCGCCCATACCTGCCTTAAACCGCCAGTACATGGCCCTCGAGTTGCAGAAAGAGCAACTCGGCGCCACCGCACTGTAGCGATGGCTTCGTCCAGTACCGGACCACGAGGACTGGCGGCGCCAGCCCAAAACAGAAAACTTTAAGAAGTGTGCCGCTGGCCGTTCAGAAAAGGATGGCCCGCAGTGAGGCACCTCAAAACCATGCCAAGAGGCCAGTCACCGATATATGTAGCTTGTGCGCCCTTGCTTAGTGACCATTATTTCCCCTTCCCCGCCCATACCTGCCTTACACCGCCAGTACATGGCCCCGGAGTTGCAGAAAGAGTAACTCGGCGCCACCGCACTGTAGCGAAGGCTTTGTCTAGTACCGGACCACGACGACTGGCGGCGCCAGCCCAAAAAGGAAAACTTTAAGAAGTGTGCCGCTGGCGGTTCAGAAACGGATGGTGCACAGTAAGGCACCTCCGGGCCCAGGTCCGGGCCCGGGTGTGCTGGTGGTCTAACCTCCCATTACCTCTCAATAATTCCTGAGCATGAAGAAAATTAATCCTCCCTTAGGACCATCTTAGCGCCCTTCCTGACTACAAACTTCCTTAAACCGCTAGTACATGGCCCCCGACTGGCAAGATTTCGACGTCTTCCTTGCCTAACAAATGGATTTTGGAGGCTCTCGCGGCGGCAACGCAAAGAGAAAATATGTGTGCTGCTGGCGGTTCGGCAAAGCTTCGCATGCAGCGTAGTGCCGCCTGGCCCGGCCGTACTTGTGGTTTACGCACATCCCTCTTTCCTCAGCAACTTCCTTGATTACAAACTTTCACGACCTCAAGGAAGCGGTCATTCAAACAGAGTTTAACGGAGAACGCTTCGCTTGATCTATCGACAAAGAAGAAAAAGATAACACAGTGGCGGCAAACTGATGATACCACTCTTTCTTTCCCCTACCAATACCCCCTGGAATAGCCTCAATCCCTGAGAGTCCGGCGACTGCAGAACAAGAAGCCTCTGGACAAGTCAAAAAAGGCATGCCTCCTGGTGAAAAGGGCACACCTATAGGATAGAGAAGCGGCTTTAAGTACCTAGTAGGCTAGTACCTAGTACCTTCCTACATGATAGTACCTTCCTTCCTCCTTTTCCTCCTCAGCAACTCTCTTTAGACTTACTGAATCGCGTACGCCGTCCGTGCCTCTGTTCCTTCAGCAGCAATGCAGGACCACCTGTCCTTGCGCGGTCTCCGTGTCGGTGTGTCTTCATCAGCAATACAGTGCGTAACCCCCTTCCTTGCATGGTCTCTGAGCTTCGAAATGTTTCCAAAGGACCTTGAAGTTCATGCTGCTTCAACAACACACTACCGTAAGCAAATACTTCCCTCCCTCCTTTCCTTCCCTCCCTTCAATGATCTTCAGACTGAGTCCAAAACTTTCACCCTTACTCAAATTACTCAGCTTGCTTAAGAAACCTGTCCTTTGTACCATCTGACAGTGTAGACCCCACCCAGGCTGCAATCGTCAAACCATTGGTACACACCCCCAGCCTTGCTGAAAAGAAACTTGATGCCCATCTGAAAACATTCGAGCCGGGTCGCTGTCGATAAATTCCATTGCCGACCTTTGTCGCGTTTCAGCCCTCCGAAGGGGGGCCGCGGCTGATGTACGGCGTGCACTTGTGGTTAAGTAAGTAGCCAGAATCGTGGCATACCTCCACGTACTTTTCGCCAAACGTGAGGAATGCTATGTGCATTCTCGCAATTTAACCGCCAAGGGCATTCTCGCAATTTAACAGCCAAGGGCATTCTCACAATTCAACTGATGTTGCCATTTTTTAGATTAAAATTTGGTGACTATTTTGACGAGACCCTACCGTCTTCACCCATATAGAACGGTGAACAATCATCGCTGCATCTAGACTGAAAAATGTCCCAAATACAGGTACAATGACCGAGCATTCTACTGGACGTGTGAAGGACGCAGGTTTGGAAGTTCGGGTGGCTTAGGGAGCACCTTCACAGTCAGCGTCCCTTTCCTGAGCGGCTTCCTTTGGCAGGCTCTAAGTTTGGGCCTCGCTGCACTACGGTAACCCTCGAAATTTGCAAAACGAGAGTGAATCTTCCGCTAGAATATGGAAAGATGCACTGCCATGATTTTTGTCTTTTGTGCATGTCGGGAGTTACTGTAGTGCAGCGAGGCCCTTTACCACCTTGGTCGACTAAGCCGCGGGTACAACGACAAGGCAAACTCGAGAAACGAAATTGATCCAATCCAAAAAATTTGGAGGCTTGGCGCTACCGGACCAAAATGGCCGCCAGGCCCGGCGGCACCAGCCAAAACAAAAGGAGAAGTCCTGCATCGGCATTTCGGGCATTTCGGCAAACTTTGGCCGCAAGTTTGGCGCGCAGGCAGGACTCAGGAGGAATTCGCCTCAGCAAAAACTGTCTCGGATATCATACTGGTTGCTTAACCAGCTTTCTTTGCACACACATTGTCCTCTCTCAGGCCCTTATCTGTGAGCATCTAGCTTCCCATGACGCCGATGACGGGCTTCTCCCGTGTACCTCAGTTCACGACCTCTTCCTTCCTCGACCTTAATCATGATCGTCAAGGAAAGCTCATCAGCAGATAGAATGTGTCCTCCTGCAATTTGTCGAAATATAGTCCGTAAACGACCCTCTTTTCTCCGAAATACTACAGACAAACATACTTTTTTTTTTTCCATACCAAGCACGAGCTCGTCAGCATGCCATAGAGACGGAAGCAGGCACTTGGAAACTGTTCCCACAACAATTTTTTCACTAACATCAGTCCGTCGACCAATGACTCTAGTTCCCGGCTATATCTCCTGTCTATTTATCTTCAAGGCAGACTTTCCCTTGGCTGTGAAGGTGGAACCACAGGACAATGCAACAAATCGACGATGGCGCCGAGCTCTCATGCTTTGCAGGCTCGAAACTTGTGAAGGTGAAACTGCTGCAACCGCAGGATAACGGAATCAGCAGGCTAGCAAACCATACACCAACAACTACCGCACACCGAGTCGTCAGCTCGCATGGGGGAAAATTGTGAAGGTGAAACCGCTGCAACCTCAGGATAGGCTAGCAAACCATACACCAACACCTACCTCACACAGACAGAGTCATCAGCTTGCACGGGATGATGCTCTTCGATCTCAATGAGGGTCAGGAGAGAGACAGAACCAAGGATGTGCATACCTCGGTCATAAAGGGGCATGGATCGGAAGCCTGGTAGAAGTGCAGACACAGGCAAAACAGTTTGTCCTCCAAAGTCGTCCTTGCCCATCTTGTCATACTCGTGCACTTCGATTCGCAAAACAGCAAGCTCGGGAACTCGGAGCGGGAACTCACAAAGCTCATCCTCCCAAGAAGGGTAGAAATCATCCTCCAGTTGCTTCAACGTGTAGTTCTTTGAATCTCCATCCACACCAGAAACACGAACCTGACTCGATGCCAAATGAGTTCATGCACATACACACACAGACAGAAGCAAAAAAAACAATTTCTTAGAGTCTGTGTTGCGGTGGAGCCTCCTGACAAATCTTCTGAGCTATAACAAACACTGTCTCACACTGTAATCCTTGCTTGGTGAGCTGCATTCAGCAAATGTAAGAACATGGATGCACACACACCCACACACACACACACACACACACACACACACACAAACACACACACACACACACACAAAATCAGTTTTATCAACTCTTATGTACACTGTGTCTTTCTCCTGTTGCCTTTCCTTCCTCTCATTTTTTTCTAAGTATTTTTTGTTTACCCAACTGAGAACCCTTAAGCAGTGCCATTCCAAGTTTGGAGTGCCTACATCACTCTTAGGTGGGGGGGCGCTCAATTCGGGATGTCTGTGTGTCCTACGGGTGATGATGGATGTTCGTCGGAGTGACTCCCTGGCTCAGTGGGTGGTGGGAACCAACAGTCTGCGGTGTTCAATCGTGATGTGAGTAGGTGATGTGCTGCTTTGATGTGTGGACTGCCTCGTCTGTGCTCCGCTGCTGCCTTGCTGCCTGTCCTGCTTGCTTCACATGTGGTTCTCTGCAAGCTGTTGTGTTCACGGGGCTTCGCTGCTCTGCTGCCTTACCGCACTTCCGCTGGCCATTCCTTCCGTGTCCTTTGCTTGTGCACCTTCTAGTTTGATTGCCTTGTTGGTGTTGCCTCGCGCTTCACCGCATGGTTGCTGTGCTGCTCGTCCGCTCGCCCTGTCGTCCCTTGCAGTGTGGCTGCCTTGGTGGTGTTGCCTTGTGCCTCACTGCGTGTCCTGCGTGCTGTGTCATTCCTTCAGTCGTTTTTGGCATTGTGCAGCCGTGTGCTCCGCAGGGTTGCTGCCCGCTGCTAAGTTCCGCTAGGGAAAAGTCTGCCTTCAACAAGGGTCAGGTTCATGACCCAAACCATCAAATACAGAGTCCCCAGATTGTCGAGGGTTCAGCCTCCTGATGAGTCGGTGCAACTCCGATGAAACAATATTGTTATCATCAGTTTTTTTATTTTTCCCGTTTTTTGCTGTTTGATCTGCTGTCGTTGCTTTGGCTGACCTATGTTGTCTATCGCCTTGCCCGCCTCGCCCTGCCCCCTTATAGCCAATGTCTTCGTCTTTTCGTGGGTATTAATTGACTTGTTTCTTAGCTCACTTTGTCTTCCCCTACTTTGTTTCTGTGCCCGCCCGCCGCCCCCGTGCCCTCCATCCTAGGTGCTTTGTTGTTGCTTGCCATTCAGTGCCTCTTCGTACATCTCCTCATTGTGTGCTGCCGTCTACTTGCTGCTTTCGGCCCCTCCCCATGTTGTAGTCTGTTTTGCCTCCATACTAGGGCTTTTCGCTTCTGTTTGTTAAACTTTGTTTGCTTGTTCCGGTCAACGACATGCCTTATGAAGTGGGCGATTTATTATCTGGTATGTTTCTTGATGTGCTTTTTTGGCGCAGCTCGCCACAACTTTTCTCGCGGGGGTTTCGTCTCTCATCAACACACACACACATACACACACACATTGACGCATGCTCAGGGGAGCAATGCGCAGTATACCAAGGATCCACAATGTGATGAAAAGGACTGAAATGGACAGTGCAAATCGGCGCAGCATCAA